ATGCAAAAAAATGGGCATGGCTGTGTTCTAAAATTTTATTTCCAAAAACAGGCAGTAGGCTGGATTTAGTCCACGGGCCATAGTTTGCCAACCCCTGGTTTACAGAAACGGTCCGTGAATATTTATTGAGTATAAACTATGTGTTCTGGTCACTTGGAATACATAAGAAAACCAAACAAAGATCCCTGCCCCTGGGGAGCTCACATTCTAGCTCCTCTATTATTAGACAATAAGCATATTAAATCTGATTATGTAATATGCTAGAAAGTGATAACTACAATGGAAAAAAGAACAGCTAGAGCAGAGCGAGGGGGATGGGTTGCGATTTAAAATAGGATGGTCAGGGCAGGCCACATTTAGGTGGTGAGATTTGAGCAAAGGCGTGAAGGAAGCGAGGAAGGTGGCCTGTGGATATCTGAGGAAGAGAGTTCCAAGTACAGGGAACAGCCCATGCAAAGGCCTTAAGGTCGAGATGTGCCTGGTGTGTTTGGGAGTAGCAAGATCGCTGTAGGTAGAATGGAGTGAGTGAGGAGGAAGAGGTTCATTGTTTATTTCTTCTGGAAGATTTCTGTGGCTCCCAGGGAGCCCCTGGGCCAAAGTGCTTCTCCACTGTTCAGTAACTTGCTTTTTCTCACTTAATAGTTTGACTATTTTGCCATGTGTATAAATGTTCTACAGCCTAACCTTCAAAAGCCACATAATGTTCCGTCATCTGACTACACCATTTATTTATTTTAGTAATTCCCTATCAGTGGACTTTCAGGTGGTTTTTTAAGTTTTCATCACTATAGGGAATATCCTTTTGGCTAAGTTTTTGACTGAATCCAGAATTTTTCCTTAGGATGGATTCCTAAAAGTGGGATCCCTGAGCCAGAATGAAAGCAGAATGTAAAGAGCTTTGATGTGTATTTGTCAGGCCCTTTTAAAGAGTGTCATCTGGGCCGGCCCCGTGGCTTAGTGGTTAAGTGCACGCGCTCCGCTACTGGCGACCCGGGTGTGGATCCCGGGCGCGCACCGACGCACTGCTTCTCCGGCCATGCCGAGGCTGCGTCCCACATACAGCAACTAGAAGGATGTGCAACTATGACATACAACTATCTACTGGGGCTTTGGGGAAAAAAAAAAGGAGGAGGATTGGCAATAGATGTTAGCTCAGAGCCGGTCTTCCTCAGCAAAAAGAGGAGGCTTAGCATGGCTGTCAGCTCAGGGCTGATCTTCCTCACAAAAAAATAAAAAATAAAAAAAAAATAAAGAGTGTCATCTCCCCCAGCTACAACCTCTTCACATACCCCTTTGTGCCTTTCACACTGTGGATCATGGTTCCAGGCTCAAGCACGGACATCAGCGAGGACTGGGAGAAGGACTTTGACTTGGACATGACTGAAGAAGAAGTGCAGATGGCACTTTCCAAAGTGGATGCCTCCGGTGAGGTGAGTGGGCCTGGCTGGCCACGGGGAAGCAAGCCCAGTGATCCCAGGGTCTGAGGACTCTCCCCACCAAGCCCAACTGTCCCCTCCAGGTGGATCCCTGCTCCTATCTAAGGTGGCAGGCTGCAGGAAGGGAGCTGGGGCTTCCCACTCAGGCCCTGACCAGTTGTCATCAGCAGGCTCTGCTTCCCCTCAGTTCTAGCATGGACGGATTGGAGAGTTCTTGACATTAGCTCTGTATCCAAATCGCCTGAGGAACTACTAAAAAATGTAGACACCAAACCCTGCCCCAGATCTTCTGACTCATGGTCCCCAGGTGTGGGATCTGAGCAGATTCCTGGCCTTGGAGACAAAAGACAATGTGATCTAGGGCAAGTCACTTAACCTGAGCCTCTGTTTCCCCATCTAAAACATGAATTGATAATTATAAGCTTTAAGCTGTGATAAACAATGCATTTGACACATCAGGCACAGCACCTGGGACATGGAGCACTAATAGATGTTACTGAAACCACCACAGAACCCAGTCCAGTTTTAAGCTCAGAGGCCTTATTACTACTCTTATTCTTCACTACCTCTCAGAATCAAGAATGGGTCATGTTGAATGAGAGACTAGGGAAAAAAGCGCTCACAGCAATAAGTGACAGGACTGAGGCTTCAGCCCAGACATCTGATTCAAGTCAGTGTTACCTCCGGTGGCACACAAGAACCACATGATTCCTTCCATCGTGTAGCTCATGAACCTGCTATAAAGAGGTGAACAGATTAGAGAGACGGGAAGGGCCTCGTTTTTCATATTGGGAAACTGAAGCCTGAGGGGAGGTAGAGACCTATGCGAGGGTATTTTGCACCTGTGACCTCACTATACTCAGGGCAGAGAAGGCCCATGGCACCCTTTCATGCCACAGGGACTTGATGGCTTTTTTGTCTTCGTGGCCCTCTTTAAATCCTAACATTCAGTATACCCAAGCAGAGTCATTCTATAACCCGTCATACCAGGGATCAGCTGACGCAGGCCAAGAGAAAGTTCCCGGGGCAGACCCTGGGGATTAGGGTGCTGGAGCCCTAGTGAAGACCCTGTGAGCACCTGCAGTCCAGTGCCACGCTTGCCTCTGATCCCAGTGCTACTCTCAAGTTCTCTGCCTCTCAGAGCCATGTTCTTATCTGCTCAGCAGGAGATAAGTTCTTAAGGGATTGACTTGGTTCCTATAGGCATAGTGTCCTCTTATAGTGTCCAGTGTTGGTTGGTGGAAGCATTTCCTTTGGGTCTAGAATGATCAAAGCAGCAGACCCACCCCTTAGGCAGACACATTCCTTAAGACTAGTGGTTCACTCGCATAGCGGGCAGTGTATGCCCAAGGTGGCAGGAGGGGTTGGGAGAGCTCTCTGGAAATGGAGGCAACAAGGGGAGCTTGGGTCTGGGCTTGACTCAGAGGAGTAAATACGTGTTTATGCTCTCCATTATCCCCTCCCGTTTGCAGCTGGAAGACGTAGAGTGGGAGGACTGGGAATGAGAGGAGCCAGAGCGAGCAGCTCTCCCACCACCGCACCTCCCACCTCCCTCACTCGTCTCAGCCCAGCCCTGGAAGACACTGACTGAGAATGTCCCCCCAAATGGCCTCTGTCAACCAGAGCTCTGGGCACAGATTCTGGGTTGCTCCTTGCTGGCCCTTTGGGCCTCTGTTCACATCTGGGAAGGGGCTCACTAAATCCAAACCAAGAACTCTGACTTGTGCCAACCATAAGATGACCTAACGGGGAGGAAACCTACCCCCCTCACCGGAAGAGCCTATACATCTCTACTGAACACCCACTGTTCTGGGGACTCTTGCGGGGAAGTCCCAAGGGATAGCTCTAGCTCTTCTGCCTTTGCAGAAGCTAAACCACCAGTCTCTTGGGGGAAGCTGAAACAACACACACTGTCTACCCATCAGCAGGCAAGGAAGCCATGCCACCTGCCCTTGGCTACACAGGGATGGCGGGCACATTTTGGTTCCTATCCCAGCGGGTGAGAGGCATTTGCCTCTGGGAAATTTGCCTCTCTTGGGAGTCTTCCCCTCCCAGGCATTGTCCATTCCTGGAAAGATTCCTTGTGGTTCAGAATCTAGAGACCAAACCCTGAGTTCCCACCTCCTTCCTTTCATCCGGCCCAGGCTGTTATGTCCCCAACGCCTTTCCCAGGGCTTCTTCATGTCAGATGCACCCAAGTCCTTAGCCCAGCTGTGCCACCTGCAAGAGTCTGCTCTTGCATTTCTCCCCCTCCCCAAGAAGGGAGGGGGCCACTTCAGGCCCTTCTGTGCGTTGCCTGGCGGGATACCTTGTCCAACCAGCTACCCACCTCGACTCCCCTGTAGCTTAGGACACAAGCCAGCTACCAGCGGTACAGAGCAGTGATCAAAGCCGAGTACTCACAACTCTGGTAAGCCCAGCTTCTCCGCCTCAACCCTTCTGCTGCTTGAAGGGATATGCTGGGGGTGAACTTCTTGAGGCTCTCATCAGGCTTCTGCAGAAGCTCTTCTTCCTGAAGACAGATCCAGTCTTTGTGGCTCTCACCCTCCACTCTGGTAAAGCTGCACCTCTCTTGGGGAATGAGGGGCTGCAGGAATCCCTGGAGACCCTGGTGCTTCACGATGCTGCTCTGGTGATTCTTGTACATAATCTGGTGTGTTCACCAATGATTTAAAGGGATGGTGGTCAGGGATGCCAAGAGAGTGGTGTTCATTTCCACTTCAAACCTTCAATGAGGGGGTGGGATGGAGAGAATGCTGAATCTTTTTTTGATGGGATGGGGTTTTTCTCTTTGTAATTATTTCTTTAGTTTAATTAACCTTTTGGTTGTTTGTGCAATATTATATATTTTAAATTATAATGCATCTCCCCAGAGTATTTTGTAGCTGGGAAAAGAAAAAAGGAAAAAAAAAAAAGATTCTAACAGCTGTTAGTTTTGTAATTAAAAAAGAAAGAAAAAAGAACTTTGTCCTGAACCTTTTCCAGACTTGCTGTTAACAGCATTAAAGAGATTCAACAGAAGCTGGAAGGTGTCTGGGGGTCTGTTCTTGTCCCCCATGGCAGCTGCCCTTGGAGGCAGGGCAGGATGCACACCATGTGCAGGGTGGCTGCCCGCTTGGAGCCTGGGGGAGGGGGAGGGATGGGGGTTAGCCTGGGTCGTGGGGAAGTCCCTTGTCCTCATCCCAGACTCGGCTTGGCCTTTGGGATGAGGAAGGGACGGGGCCTCCAACAGACCTCTCACCAAGACAAGGAATCAAGACCGTTTCTGCATTCCCAACACTTCTGCTTTTATTTGGAAAGGAAGTTGCAACAACAGTGGTTCCGATTGCTCTTGGTCATTTTTCTCCTCTCCTCCCCGTGTATGTGTATGATTCTGGGGTCTATTTTTAATTAACTTTAGTTAAACACCTGTATGAAAATCACTTGTCAGCCTTAATAAAAGGGAAGTCTGAACGAGGCCCTCTGGTTCCATGAAGATCTTTAAAGGAAAAGAGAAGTAAGGCTGGGGAGGGTGTAGGTAAGTTTTAGGATAAGTAAACTTAAAGTGTAAAATATATATCACCATTTTAGAAGCGGGTTTTGGGTTTGCTTTCTCCCCCTACTTTATTGGGGAGGACTTGCCATTGCTTTTACGAAGTGCTTGCTAGCCATGGATGCCAACTAACTTCTTCGATGGAAGGCCGGAGAGTCATGTCTGGTTCCAGGAGCCGCTTGAGCAGGTCCTGGCAGTCAGCCGAGATGCCCAGATGAGTGGGGAAGGACACGCCCTTCTGCTGCTGCCACAGCATCTTGGGGATGTCTGTGTCGTCAAAAGGTAGGCTGGCACAGAGCATGACGTACAGGACCACACCCATGCTCCAGACGTCACCCTTCTTGCTATCATGGGGAATACCCTGCAGCACCTCAGGGGCAGCATAGGCTGTGCTGCCGCAGAAGGTTTGGCTCAGCTCCCGGCGTGACTTGGGCAGCACCTTGGCGAAGCCAAAGTCAGTCAGCTTCAGGTTGAAGCCTTGCAACAAGGCGTTCTCGCACTTGAGGTCTCGGTGGGCCACGCCACAGCCGTGGCAGTAGCGGATGGCCTCGACCATCTGACGGAAGAGGGCCTTGGCCTGGCTCTCAGGCAGTGGCCCCCCATTCAGCACGCAGTCAAAGACATCCCCTCCCTCAGCCAGCTCCATCACCAGGTAGATTTTCCCATCGGCCGACTCCAGCATCTCATACACCTGGATGATGTTCTTGTGGTCCAGGATACGGACGATCTGGAGCTCCCGAGGCAGGAATCTCTGGATAAACTCTGAGGAAACAAGGGGAAAAGAGATGGGGTATCAAGGCTGGAAGGGCCTAACTCCTTACTCCTGTCTCCTACCTTCCAGCTTCTGTCTGCCCATCACGTCTGGGTCTTGTGCCTTGGTTGCCTTTAACAGTCTTAAATGTCTAGCTGCTTGGACATTGCAAAGAATGTTCACCTCTATTGTTTTTGCATTAATATATTATTCAAAGGAACTAGTCCCTGCCAGCCTCAGGGACTGTTGTGAGCAGCCTGTGAGACCTTGGATATCAGGGTGCTTTGGGGACTTTTAGACAAAGCCATTGAATCTCAGTTATGAGGCCTGATTTGCCCACAGTGAGGTGAGCGAGCTCCTCCCACCCCTGCCTCCTGACCCACAGTTCTTTCCATGAGCCCTGTCTTTCCCATCTCTACCTGCCTTGGCACCAACTCCTGCCCTCTGCTAGCCCTGGCCGTGGCCTCTCTCTGTTCCCCTCCTGGAATAAGAGAGGCCTGGCAGGCTCAAGTTCTGCCTCTGAGGACCCTCCACCTCCTGCCACCTTAATTTTGGGTTTTGGAGGGTGTGATGTTCCTGGACTCCCAGCATTCTCTGTTCCCCACTGACCTACCCCAGAGGCACCATCTCTCTTGCTTTCCCTGGTTCCAGACTAAAGGGAGGAGGGAATGAGCCTTCTGACTGGAGGAAGCACCCACCCACCTCAGCCAGCCCTCCCTTCTTCCAAAGGGGCCCCAGCTCACCTTCTGGCCCTCCCATCTTGTCTATAATTTTAATTGCCACTTTTCTTTGGTGTTTTTTGGAAAATGCTTCTTTGACTTTTGAGTAGGTCCCTTCCCCAATGGTCTTGCCCAGCTGGTACCCATTGGAGAGCAGAAAGTCCTCCATGCTGTCTAGCGCCTCCTTCCTATCACCCTCTCAGCTCATGCTGCCTCCAGGAGGCAGCTCTACTCCACCATTGCCCTTGGCCAGCTACTTTTCCCCCCAAGGACTTCATCCGCAGCCGCCCCCAGCGCTAGAACATTCTCCGTCTGTACACAGCAGCCGCGGGTAGTGGGAAGGGAGATGGCCGGACATTTTAAAACTCCGGCCCAATTGTGATGTAAATGCTGTGTGACCCTTAGCCAAAATGGGCAGAGCCCGTACCTGCCCTCAAACGACCACCACCAAACCCAGCGCGGGTTAAGTCACTAGTGCGCCCCCGCCTCCACGCCAGGCAGTGAGTCGCAGGCTTTTCGGGGGGGCGGCGCACACGGGTGTCTGCGCGGCCCAGGATGCCGAGCTCCCTTTGGTGGACGCTGCCTCGCAGCTGGTTGCCGTCTCCTCCTGCGCCCCCATCGGGCAGCTGGGGGTCTGCGCCACCCAGTGTCAAGGCGCCATGGCAAAAGCCCTCCAGCACCTGGCTCGCGGCCGCGCTAAGTGCCGGGGCGGCGGGGAGCGCTGGGGGATTCCTCAGTGGGAGGAACGGGTTCTGTGAGGTCAGCGCGCCGTGGCCCGGGTCACAATGCAGCCCTCCCCCTCGACGCCCGGGCCCGGACACGCCGCAGACACCTGCCCGGCTCCGCTTGGACCGGAGCGTCCTCCCGCAGCCAGGGCTCAGGCAGCTGCTTTCAGCCTGGGTCCGGCGTCGGCCTCCGGCAGGTGAGCAACGACCCAGGGCGCGGGCGCGGGGAGGGGGCGCCTGGCGGCCCGGGAGCAGCCTGACCGCCACTCCCCGCGCAGAGTGCCCCGGAGCCTGGACATGAGTGCCCGGGAGCCCCCGCAGGGTCGGAGATTCCCCATTGAGGCCGGAGACTCCCCTGGCCTTGCTGCCGCCCCCGAATCCCAGGACAGCCCAGAGCCGGTAGCCACGGAGCACAACCCAGTCAGGTGAGGCCGGCGCCCCTCCCCCCGCGAGCCCTCTTGCCGTCCCGGCCCTCCCCACCGTCCCGAGGGGGAGCTGGGCGGACGGCTGCGCGCCGAGCGCTTCCGGCCCCGCCCCTGTCCCACTTCCCATCCCCAGACACCCCCGTCCCCCCAGTATATGCCCAAACCTCGGGGACCCCAGGTGCCCTCCCCGGGAGCGTCCCCGACAAGATAGGCCGGGACCCCGCCTCAGCGTCCCCTGTCGCGCCCCGTCTCTCCAGGCCGCTTCGACGCTGCCCGGGCTGCCACTGCCTGACGCTGCTGCACGTGCCCATCGACGTCTATCTGGCCATGGGCGGGAGCCCCCGGGCCCGCGCCACCTGAGTGCGCCTGCGCAGGGCGGCTCCGCGGGAGCCGGGCGGGAACGAGGCCAGCCGCGGGCCACCACGCTGAAATCGCGCACACAGAGCACGAGACAATGATGCACATTTTAAAATAAAAGAATGATGCACATTTTAATAAAGCACAGCATAAACTGTTCTTTCCACTCCGGGCTGGCTGTGTATGTCTATCCCGTCGGACCGGGCCCACCTACTGCTCCGCCCCATCCAATAGCACCTTCCCTTGGGCTGTCTCCTCCTTTGGACCCAGCCCTAGGGGCATGCTTTTCCGGGTCCCCTTTCTTCTTGCTGGGGGCCAACCCCTCCCCCCATTTGTTGCTGGTCCTGACCTCTTTCAGGACTACCTTTCAGCTTGGACCCTCCCTCATCCTTCTTCCCATCCCTCTCCTTGGTTCTCGAATGGAATTGGCATTACTGTGCCGGACTCAGGGAGCCCAGAGCAGCTCAGCACTGGAGAGGGGTGGACAGACAACTTAGAGTAGAGAGAATGGCCACCCACACCAGGCTCACTTAATTCTCCCAGGATGGAGTTAGCTTTTGCTACCTGCTGTTTGTTACCCTGGGCACCTCTGGCTTTGTTGGAGGGGTTAGGAGCTGCCCTGTCCATCTTGAGTCTTGGTTATTCCTAGAAAGAAGACTGAGGAAGAAGTTGTTTGAAAAACTTCGATTTCTTATTCCTATTTTACAGGTGAGGGAACTGAGGCTTGAAAGACTTGTCCCAGGTCCCCCAGATGATGGGTGATTCTAGCACATTCCTCAGTGTCCTCAGACTTAACGCTCTAAAAGCCATCCATAAGAGGGGCCATGACACGAAGGCTGCCTGGAAGTGCAGTATTTAAGCTGAACGAGTATTTTCCCACTTTCTAATTTTGCTTTGAAGAACCTGCATTATTATATATTTTTTTGCTGTCCTTTTTTTATTTTATTGAGGTCATAATAGTTTATAACATTGTGAAATTTCAGTTGTATATTATTATTTGTCATCACCATATATATGTGCCCCTTTACCCCTTATGCCCACCCACCAAGCCCCTTCCCCTCTGGTAACCACTAATCTATTCTCTCTGTGTATTAGTTTATCTTCCACATATGAGTGAAATCGTATGGTGTTGGTCTTTCTCTGTCTGGCTTATTTCACTTAACATAATACTCTCCAGGTCCATCCATGTTGTTGCACATGGGATGATTTTGTCTTTTTTATGGCTGAGTAGTATTCCATTGTATATATATAACACATCTTCTTTATCCATTCATCAGTCAGTGGACACTTGGGTTGCTTCCACTTCTTGGCTATAGTGAATAATGCTGCAGTGAACATAGGGGAGCATAAGTCTCTTTGAATTGTTGATTTCAAGTTCTTTGGATAAATACCCAGTAGTGGGATAGCTGCATCGTATGGTATTTCTATTTTTAATTTTTTGAGAAATCTCCATACTGTTTTCCATAGAGGCTACACCAGTTTGCATTCCCACCAGCAGTGTATGAGGGTTCCCTTTTCTCCACAACCTCTCCAACATTTGTTGTTTTTTGTCTTGGTGATTATAGCCATTCTAACATGAACCTGTACTATTTTAACACTGGAAATAATATATGTAACCCAAACGTCAGGTTCAGTCTCCTGTCCCCTGAGATCTAAATACAATTGACTCAACACCCCTCCCCTAATCCACATGGGGTAGAAGTCCAAGCCCTCCCCAGAGCACTTCAGAATCCCATGGTCACGGTGAAGGGCAACCTTTCTCAACTTCCACACAAAATACCCTCCCAGGCAGTCCCAAACGTTATTGGGACTTATTGGCTTATTGAAGGAGAGGACGTTTGCCAAAAAAAAGTCTACTTCAAAGTGAGGACTTTAGACTTGACCATTCAGTCCTCTGGTCCTTTAAATACCCTGGCTCTTGAAAGCCCCTCCATGCCTATCTTTCCCCTTCACCAGGATAATCCCTGGCTTCAGGCCATAGAACTGGCCTCTCTCTCCTTCACTCCTCTCCTCCTCCACCCTGACCTCCTGCAGAGCCCTACTCCACCCCCCAGGGACTCTCGGTTCCTCTCTCTATTAAGTAGAGTAATCCAGCTGTTCCCATTCCCACCATACTCCATGCAGGCCCTACTCAGCCTAGCAACCTATGCTGCTGCTCTGCAGAAAAAGGGCCTCCCCCCGGTAAACAGTACTCACCCTCCTTAGGAGGCCATTGTAATTTCAGAGAGAAAAAATTATTGGCCTCTGTATTGATAAGTTCTCTCCACTGCGAGCAACTGAAGTTAGCTTAAGCAAAAAAGGAATTGATTGTTTGAAGTGGCTGGGAAGGACATAAGCTAGTGATTAAAGGAAGAACTGTAGGAACCAGGGCATCCTTGGGCTGGAACCAAGGATTCAACCCCACCAGACTGCCCCATCATTCTTGATTATCTCCTCTGGGCAGAGAACATGGCTGCAGCAGCTTGGAAATCCCAGGAAGGGAGCTGCTTTCTCCAGTCTCAGTATACCTATCCCTGGAAGGGCAATAACTGGCCCTTCTTAAATCATGTGCACACTCCTTGGGCCAATCACCATTGTCAGAGAGATGGGAGACTATAATTGACCAGGCTGAGCCATAGGTAAGCCTTCCCTTGAGGTGCAAGCATAGCCGGATGATTGACAGCATCATCAGAAAATAATGAGCAGAAGTTGAAGAAAAAACATTCTGGGATCAGAGACAGCTTATGCAAAGATTGGAAGATTGGGTATGCTGGGAGAAAAAGATACCTGCAAAAAAGGGGTAGAGAGTGGCAGGAGTCAGGATTCCATGGAACTCTGTTCCATGGCGATCAGGAGCCTTGGACAGTGTTACCAGTCATCAGACCACTGGGTTCTAGTTCAGGCTATGTCCCTGACTCAGACAGTACAGGTCTACCAGCCAGGCCTGTGCAGGGCACTGGGGATTCAGCAGTGACCTTGACAGACATGGACCTTGGCCCTCATAGATCTCACATAGCCTAGTAACGACCTGCTGGCAGGCCTCACTCAGTCAATTCCCTTCCCTCTGGGCCCATTTCCTCACTGGTATAAAAAAAAGAAAAAACAAAAGGCACCAGCTGATCTCTAGGACCTTGCCAGCACCAAAATGCTGAATCCTTCCCATTCTTCCTTTCTCTCTTCTCTTTTCCCTTACTTCCTTTCTCCCATCTTCTCAACCCTCCTTTCCTTTAAAAGATTTATTGCCACCTCCCATATGCTTGGATATTGAGGGATGCCAAGATTCCAGACACAAGCCTTGCCAATGGGCCAGACCCTGGGGCTAGTTAGCTCTAGAGTGTCCATGAGCAAGGGGAAAGGGCATGCCAGGTGGAGGGAACATTGTGGGCAAAGGCCCAGAGGCAAGAAAGTAGAGGGCAAGTTCAAGGAATTCAGTTCAGTCAACTTCCACCAATACCTACTTGAGCCACACCAGGTGCTGAGAACCCAGGCCTGAACCTGACAGATCCCATGCCTTTGCTCAGAATTGAGGGGATCCAGGGAGGGGTTCACAGAAGAGAAACTGGGTCAAGGAGGCCTTGAGTTTGAACTTTATTCTGTAGGTGACAGGGAGCATGACAGGCTCCAACCTGGGTCACTTCGCTCTCCTATTTCTCTTCTTTTCCATCCTGGTTCTTCTTCCTCTTTCTTTCCCCCTGGAAAAGTCACTGGCCTAAATTCTAGTCCTGGGTTTGAGTCCTGACTCTGCTATTTACTAGCTGTGCAACCTTGAGCTACTTACTTAGCCTCTCTGAGTCCCCATTTCCAAATCTGTGAAATGGGGTTAATGACACCTGCTGGAAGGTTTCAGTAAAGTCACATGTACGGCGCCAGGCAGGAATCTTGGGCACAGCTAGCACTTGATGAGCAAGAGAGGCTGCCGCTCCTACCTTTGGCTTCAAGGGGCAGCAGAGAGCCAGCCAGCCCTGTCCCCAGGGGCTGGGTGATGTCCAGCCTTGGAGAGGGTTGGGGAATCCCTCTTGCCTCCCTCTGCCAACTTCCCAGCAGTTCTACTCAGGAGCCGAGGAACTTGGCGGGGGGAGGGCATTTCCAGGGGAATCCCCAGATGGGAAAGGCAGAGCTGCTTCCCTCACCCTAGAGGGTAAAGCTGTCCCCAGACCCCAAAGCAGGACCCCCAGATCCCAGCCTTATTCT